AAAACCAAAACCCACGCGGGAGGTGAACGTGGATTTTTGCTGTCTGAGGCCGGGGCAGCCGTTTCGAGCCGTTCAGCTGGGGGGGACGGGGGGAATTTCTCCGGTGAGACACAAAAATTTCATTTCCCCGTTCGGAGGATCCGTCAGCGCGTGGAGCCAGGCCTGGAGTAAGAACCTGATCCCTGTGGAGGCGGAATGAAAGGGAAACACCTCAGGATTTGTGTCCAGTGAAAAACAACGTGTCCACGATGGAAAACCTTGTGGGGTTTGATGCTAATTTTCGTGGTCACCTTGGCTGCGCTTGAGGAAGTGGCCGGCGCTGCCAAGAGCGAATTTCCCTGATGATGGATGAGGAATCAGAGCAGAAAATAAATAAATATCAGCAACACCTTTTCTTTTTCCTGCTTTTCTGGCAGATTGGTGTCATCCAAGGTCACGCATTTGGGCGCTGGAAGCGCGGCCAGAGCTCAGTGCTTTCAAATCATGTTTTAGTCAGAGCAGCTTCTTTAAGGGCTGGGTTAAAAAAAAAAAAGAAAAAGAAAAATTGAAGTGGAGTCTCCCAAAAAATTCCTGTTCATTAATTTTCAGCATTAATTGTCTTCTCTCCTTGTGTTCAGGCTTGGAAGAAGCTCCCCAGCGGGAATGTGGAAGGTGCCCTGCCCATGGAAGGGTGGAATGAGATGATCCTTGAAGCCCCTTCCACCCAAACCATTGCAAGAATTGCTTGTTTTCCTCCTGAAGCCGCTCCTGCATCCCCCACACCAGGTACTGACCCCCCTAGAGTTGAATTTTTTATCCTGTCCATAGAAAAAATTGGAGAAAATGGAGGATTTTTGGACAAAACTCCACAAATCTCACCAAGCAGGGAAATTTTGTTCCCCTCAGCAGAAAGATTGTTCCCCTGAAAAATTTCAGGACTGGGGGCTTTTGCGGTTGCTTTTGTTTTGTTTTGGGTTTTTTTGGGGAGGTTTTGGGGAGTTTTTTGTTTGTTTTTTGTTTGTTTGTTTGTTTGTTGTATTCTTTATTTTTTATTTCTATCTCCCTCTCCAAAAAGGATGGAAGGAGATGTGTGAGGTGACAGCAACGACAGAGACTCCGATGGAGGAGGACAGAGCTGGCCTGAGGTGAGGGAGGGATGGAACAAACGGAATTTATGGCAACCTTTGGAAAAATGATAAATGGGAGCTGTAATTTTTATTGGGAAAGGGGAGCAGAGCACGGGTGAAGGACCAGAATAATCAAAAAATCATAAATTAGAAGTGGAGTTTGACAGGAGCACACAAAGCTTTTGGCTGGTGGATAAAGGAGAGTTTCTCCTGGAGTAAGAGCCAGGGAAATGCACGGGAATTTCCTGCAGGAAGATTTTTCTGGGGAGTCACGTTGGGATGGAGCTGGGGAAGGCAGGGATGGGGATGGGAAAAGCAGGGATGAGGATGGGAAAAGCTGGGATGTATTGTAAACACAGGTGAACCCAATGGGAAGAAATGCTGATGTCTGACTCAATTCAGAAGGCTGAATGATTTCTTTATTAAAACTATGCTAAAATATATTAATATATTATATAAAAGGAGGATACTAAAACTACAAACTACTTTCTCTGACTCTAAGACAACTCATGACCCTCTCTGAGAGCCCAGCCCCAGGTGGGTTGGATTGGGTTGGGTTGGATTGGGTTGGGTTGGGTTGGATTGGGTTGGATTGGATTGGATTGGCCACCAGGCTCAAACAATCCTCACCAGAACCCAACCAAGCATCACCCCAGGGAAACAATTCTCCAAACACATTCCACATGGGAAAAACAAGGAACAGAAATAGAAATTGTTTTCTTTTTCTTCCCTCTGTGCTCCTCAAAAAAATCCTGAGAGGGAGAGAAATGTGCTGGCCACAGGGATGGAGCTGGGAAAGGCAGGGATGGGGATGGGAAAGGCAGGGATGGAGCAGGGAAAAGCAGGGATGGGGTTGGGAAAGGCAGGGATGGAGCAGATGTTGAGTGCAGGAGAACACCGGGAGCCTGGCAGGATAAATCTGGAGAATTAGCACGTGGGAGGCCGCCAAAAGGAGCAATGTGTTTTGGTCATCACCGGGAAGTGCCGACCCCTCCTCCCGCAGCCCCCGGACCTCGGGCACCGAGCAGATGTCACTCAGCCCCCGATTAACACGTTACCGAATTTCTGCCGGCGTTTCATAAAAGTTTGACGTAACACGCAGGTAATTGCTTCCAAATGGCAGGGGAACAATGTGGCCCTCTGTGCCTGGCATTGTTTTAGGTCAGGTGAAAACTCCTCTGGTTGCCTCCAGTTCAGGGAAAATCCCCCCAGCTGCTTTCGCGGTGGCTCCGGAGACAAAGGAACGCCCCGGGAAGAGCAGAGACTTCGGGCCAGGAATATTTGTTCCCCAATATTTGTTCCCCGGATTTGTTCTGATGTGCACACGCAAGAAAAACGATGCTGGGAGATGCTGTTCCAAGAGCACGGAGTGGCAGGCCAAGGGGGAACGGATTGGAACTGCCAGAGGGCAGGGATGGATGGGGAATTGGGATACAGGAATTCCTCCCTGGGAGGGTGGGGATGCCCTGGCACGCATTCCCAGAGAAGCTGTGGCTGCTCTGGATCTCTGGAAGTGTCCAAGGCCAGGCTGGACAGGGCTTGGGAATAGTGGGAATAGTGGGAATAGTGGGAATAGTGGGAATAGTGGGAATAGTGGGAATAGTGGGAATAGTGGGAGGTGTCCCTGCCATCCAGGGGTGCCACTGGATGGGCTTTAAGGTCTGGTCCATTATGGGACTCCCGGAGATCTCAGGGTGCTCCAAAGGCTCTTTCCTGTCCAGCTCCAGTGCTTCCCATCCCACCAGGATAAATCCCCTCCAAATCAAATCTCCCCCAGCCCAGAGCAGTGAAGACACATGGGAAGGACTCCTGGACTAGAGCCAGCCTGGGGAAAAAGGAGCAAAATCTGGATAAAGCTCATGGAATGCTAGTGCTTTGATTTTTTTTTTTTTTTTTTTTTTTTTTTTGCTTTCTCTTCCTGCAAAATTCTGCTTGAGGTGTGTGAGCAACACCTGTGCATGGAATTGGATTGGGATCTGAGGACCTGGACACAGGAACAGCCTGGCAGGAGCTGTATGGGAATCACCTGGCCATGGAATGGGATTGGGATCTGAGGACCTGGACACAGGAACAGCCTGGCAGCAGGGCTTTGCCTCGCTCCACACCTCTGTGCTGAAAACCAATGCTGAGATGAAACCCTGTGGCTCCTTCCCCCTTCTCCAAGGCAAACACAGACAGTTCCATTCCCACTCCCAAAAAAATCCATCTCCCAGCACTTCCCTGGCTTTGTGTGTGCTTTGTTCCATGCAGTGCCGCCGAGCTTGGACGCTTTTTCCAGCTGACATTGAGCTNGCCTGGCAGCAGGGCTTTGCCTCGCTCCACACCTCTGTGCTGAAAAGCGATGCTGAGATGAAACCCTGTGGCTCCTTCCCCCTTCTCCAAGGCAAACACAGACAGTTCTATTCCCACTCCCAGAAAAATCCATCTCCCAGCACTTCCCTGGCTTTGTGTGTGCTTTGTTCCATGCAGTGCCGCCGAGCTTGGACGCTTTTTCCAGCTGACATTGAGCTCTGGATGCTGCCTCTTTTCCTCTCCTGCCTCCATAAAGAAGAACAGCAGCCCTTGCTGTGTTTTCCCTGGATCACGGGCTGCTGGGAGCCAAAGGGAAGCTTTGGAGGAGGAGGAGGAGGGCAGGAGGATCCTTTTCCCCAGCAGAGCTGCAGGCCAGGCTCTTTGGCCTCCTCAAGCCTTCATGGTGAGCAGCAAATTGTCCTATAAAAATTCTCCTCTGGAGTTTTATTTTGCTAAGGAGCAAGGCCCAGCTTGGAAATTTGGGATTCAAATGTCCTATTTTTTTTTTAATGGACAGCAAATCCAAGAGAAAGGGGCTGAAATCCAATGGGTTCTGCCTCTCCCTGAAAACAAAAAAATCAGGAACCCGTGTTCAGACCAAGAAGGAAGAAAGGCTGGGGAGACACCTGAGAATCCTGGTGTCTCCCCAGCCTTTTCCCCTTTTTCCCTTATTTCCTGTTCCAGCCTGTGGACAACATCCAGGAAATGTGTGCTTGGGGCTCTCTGAGACACCTCAAAAAATCTCCAGAGGTTGGAATGACAAAGATCCTCCCATTTTACCCTGATTATAAATAAGGTGCTAAGCAGAAATATCTTTCAAAAAGGAATTTCGTCATCTTTTCACCTCTGGTTCCCAATGCTCCAGCTTGGATTATCCCTAAAAAGGAAGCTTCAAACCCCACCCTTCTTTCCCTTCTTTGGGAATGCTGAGTAGCCTGGGACAGTGGAAGTGCAGGAGGATGCAACAGGGGGATGGTTAATGTCCCTTCCAACCCAAACCATGCCAGGATTCCATGCTGGAATCACTGGGCAATATTTTGCCTTTGCACCTTGAGCTGGGAGTCCAAGGGGGTTTGAAGGGATTTGAAATCTGTGCCTGAGATTTGTGCTTGGTGCCACTCTCTGAGAGCTCAGAGCTGGGGTTAGCCAGAGCAGCTTTCCTGGGATCTGAGGCACCTGGAGCAATTCCCAACAATATCCTTCCATGGCCTGGCAAACCCCATCCCCTCTGATTTCCCCAAACACGTCAGCCTCCCTCAGTCTTGGGCTGCGAATCTGCCCCAAAGCGGGGCCAAAACTCCTCTGAATCTGGTTTTCCCAGTGACACAGTTGGAGCTGTATTGTAAACACAGGGGAACCCAGTGGGAAGAAATGACAATGTCTGACTCAATTCAGACATTATTCAGAATTATTTCTTTATTATAACTATGCTAAAATATGTTAATATACTATATAAAAGGAGGATACTAAAACTACAAACTACTTTCTCTGACTCTAACAAAACTCGTGACCCTCTATGAGTCCAGCCCCAGGTGGGTTGGGTTGGGTTGGATTGGATTGGGTTGGATTGGATTGGATTGGATTGGGTTGGGTTGGATTGGATTGGGTTGGATTGGATTGGATTGAATTGGATTGAATTGGATTGGATTGGATTGGATTGGATTGGATTGGATTGGATTGGATTGGATTGGATTGGATTGGCCACCAGGCTCAAACAATCCTCACCAGAATCCAACCAAGCATCACCCCAGGTAAACAATTCTCCAAACACATTCCACATGGGAAAAACAAGGAGCAGAAATAGAAATTGTTTTCTCTTTCATTTCTCTCTGTGAAATACCTCTATGAAAAAATCCTGAGAGGGAGAGAAATGTGCTGGCCACAGAGCTGCAAATGCAGCGTGCAGGATTGGGATGGGCAGGGCTGGGAACAGCATCCTCCTGGCCACAGGAGCATCTTCAGCTGCACAGAGCACGGAGACAAATGAACTGGAGGAAGCGTTTCCTCTGCCGAGGGCTCTCACCCGCCAGCTCCCTGCTCCAGCAGAGGTCAAGAGTTGAAAAATGAAGAGGAAAGGAAAAGGGATAGAAAGATCCATCTTCCCTCGTGAAATCCCCAGAGCAGGGGGCATTTGGAAGTCATTTTTCAGCGGGCTGAGAGCTGTTTCTGGCCTTTAGCAGACATTATTCTCTCCTCAAACCTCATCGATTTGGATGTTGGGAAGTGTTTCCCGCCATCCTCACGGGTGTTGGAAGAGCAGCTTTACCCTGGGTGCGACTCCCACGTCCTGGTTTGGGTTTTGGGCTAAGAGGGAGCCAAATTCCCACTGCAAATGGCTCTGTTCCTCAAAATTCCAAGGTTTTAAAGGCATTGGAGCTGAGATGCAAAGAGGAATGAGAGGTTTGGGTTCATGCACAGGGAGGGCTCTGATAAAACCCATGCAAGGAGAGGAAGGAGAGGTTCAGCCTGGCTAAAGGGAATCTAAATAAAATTCCTTTCTGGAAGGAAGTCAAGAAAATTATTTTCCTTCTGTGTTTCTGTCTCTCTTCTTCTGGCTTATAAAAACACCTTGGCTGGGATATTCCACCAGCTCTGCCTTTTATGAAAAACCCCTGCTCAGGCTGTGCAGATTTCACGCTGTTCCATGAAAGTAAAATTTTATGACCAGAAGCTGAAATTAGGAAGGAACTTTTTTTCCCCCCGTTGTTTGTTGTCGTTGTCATGGCTCGGATTTCGATGGTAGTGGGGAGAGATTGTTTATTTCTGCTTTTTCTACAGCACAGCCAGGTCTGAGCTCCCCAGGGTTTTTCGGGATGCTGCTCCAAACAGGTGCTGGTGGTGGGAAGCTGAGCACGGGGTGGTGATGCCTGCCCTGGAGCAGGAAGAGCTCTGTGGCTCTGTGAGGACAGATGTGTGGGAGGGCAAACACCCCAGGGACACGGGTGAGCAGCCTGGAACAGCCTCGTGGGGTGACAAAGTGACAGAGTGGGAGTCGTTCCCTCCTCCCCTCTGGAAAGGCAGAGCCCGTGGATCACAGCTTGCTCTGAGCTCACATCCAACACCAGCTGCTGCTTGGCTGGCGGGTGCCAGCAGCCTTTTCCTGCCATTTCTCACTTGAAATGTTGCACTTCTGGTTTTCCATTAATTCCTCCTCCTCTGCTAAAAAAAAAATCCTACGGAAAGGAGGGAAAAAAACCATTCTAAGAGTTCACTTGGTTCCTCTTTACTGGGTGAGTTCCAGTGACCCTGGGGGGCTGTGACATCTGAAGGGGTTAAAGGAGAGGTGCACAGGGTTAGATGAAAGTCAGAGCTGCTCATTCCAGTGTTGGTTCCTCCTGCTTTCCATCCCCAGGGTCCATCCCTGCATTCCCTGGGACAATTCCGAGCCCCCTGGGTGGTGGGAACAGCGACCGGGACCATCCACCCACCCAATGCATCTCCAGAGCTAAATAAATCTGGAGCATAAAATAAATAAAGCATAAATCTGGCTGCGTTACAGCTCCTTAAGCCATAAATGCAGAACTCCGAGGTGATTTTGTCAAGGCTGGGTTTTGTTGGACTGCACTGAGCTGTCCTCTGGTGCCAGCAGGGATTTTTATGCTCCCAGCACCACTGGAGGTCAGGAGCAGGTCCCAGGCCCAGCAGTGATTGTTGCTGTTGAGGCAGGATGGGAATGAAGAGACTTTGACTCAGAAGGATGTAAAACTCCAGTTTATTCAAAATATCCTGCTCTTTTATATAGAGTTTTGTGAGGACTAACCCTATTGGTCTTGAAGTGAAAATAACTTATACTATTGGTGTAAAGTGTTTGATGCACAGTGATAGAGCAAGAGAGATAAAGAATTATTTATATTTTTCTCTAGCTCTTTTTTTAAGCTTCTGCTTGGCTAGAAACTCTCCGTTTCTCTCTTTGACTGAATCTGAGACCCACAGGTGATCACCTGAAGGGTCACAGCTGGGAGCAGACCTGGTGTGCCAGAGGATTCCCACCCTCCTGGCCCTGTTCCCATCAATATTCCCAATTTGGGATATCCCTGCCCAAGAGAGAGCCAGGAACAAGCCCAGGGCAGCAAATTCATCTCTTCCTTCCCCCATCTCCATCTTTTCGGCACCAAGGGCTGAACTTTGTGTCCGTGTGGCCATAAAAGAGCGCAAAAAAAAAAGAGAAAAAAAAAAGCCAAAAAAGGTTTTTTTTTCAAGGCAGCTTTCCAGCAGCGATGAAAGGTCCTGCAGCGGGCAGAGGCTGCTTTGGGAATGGAACAAATTGTGGGTTTATGGCTCCCCTGCGTGTGGGGGGCTGTAAATCTCCCAACTTTTAACGCATCTGTTCTTTTCCGAGCAGGCTACCAACGGCCCAAGAAGGAGAGGGAGAAATATCCGACATTTCCTGACACCGGCTGCCCTCGGGAGTTCCTCAGGAAGGTTTTTAAAGGAATATTTATGGATGATCCTGGTGAATCGGGCCCTAAAAGGTACCTAGAAAGGGCTGGTGTTCATTAACATTTGGGAGCTGTGCATTGAGGATTTCCCTGCGGAGGGGCAAAAGGAATGGAGTGAAAGTGAAGGAGCTCTCGAGTTAATCCCCTTCTTTTTTCAGGTTATTGTTGTTGTTAAATATCAGAACCTTATTTTTGATGGAGGGAAAAAAAATTTATTAAAAGCCCATTTTTGATAGGATTTTCCTTGGAAGTTTCTTTCCGGAATTCCATACTGAGAAAAATAAGAGAATTTTGAGGTTTGTGAAATCCCTCAGAGGTTACTCAGTGTTAATCACTCTGGATTTAGGAATAGGAAAAGCAGCACGGGATGGGTTGGCGGAAGAGCATCCTCGGGCTCTGATTTGCACTGCCTTTTCCTAAAGCCAACTTAAGTTGCTCAAAAATCTTTGTAAATTCAGTGATGAGAAAGTCCCTCAGAGTTTGGGGATGGGTCAAACCCCCCAGGCATTCTCAGGGCTCTGGAGGTTGAAATGACCCCGAGATTGTAAAAAATCTTTTCCTCCCAGCCCCGCAGCCAAAGAAGGAGAGGGAAAGAGCAGGGTCGGCCTCTCAAAGCTGTTGATTTTCCCTTACCCAGAACATCCTTCCTCAAGGAGCTGTGGTCTCTCCACAGGTCAGGCTGTGCCAGACTCCCCTCCTTGGGCTGGTGTTTTTCATTTTACACCAAAAACTGCCTGTGCCACGTGTACAACAGCGTGCCAATATCTGTCATTTCTGTTGGACACTGTGTCTGTCCTTAAACCAACAGAAAAGTGTCACCAGCACAGCAAGGCATGGAGGCAAGGAGGAGGAGGAGAAGGTCAGGACATGCCCAAATCCCTGCATCTTGACCCCTTGAATCCCACTCTAAAAACCCCAAAATTCTGCTTTTTCACCCTGTGTTAATTCAACTACCACACCACTCAAACCCTTGTGGCTTGCAATTCCTCACACAAATCTGGCAGTTTTTTCCATGGGTTAAAATCAAAGCCACAGGTGTTTTTGACTTGGTGCCAGGGTCTGGAGCAGCCAGGGCAGCCAGAGGGATGTGCTGGGATCCCAAGGCATGAGGATCAGTGCCCAGAGCCCCCAGACTGTTGTTTTTGGGTCTCCTCCCATCCCTGGGATGATTTCAGAGGGACAGAGGCTCAGCTGGAGCTGAGGCTGTGCATGCAGAGCCCTCGAGGACTCCAGCAAGGATTTCCTGGGAGAAGCAGCTGGGCCACTCCTCTTTGTCAGGGGTGATGTGCAAAATTCCAGGAAAAAACAGGAAGTAAAAATAAATCCTTCCTTCTCCTCACAAGCTTTGCAGCTGTGGAACCTCAGGTGCTCCTACATGAGGGCAGTGGCAGCCAGAAGGACCTTGTTGAACATTTTCATCCATGAAAAAATGCTTGGATTGGGCTCTGCTCAGCTCTGGGTGCTCTTGGAACGAGGCAGGAGTGAAGAGCTCAGCCCAGGCAGAGCAAACCTGTCCCCAAGCCCCGAGATCAGAATCCCAGAGAGGCACAGGGCAAGAACAGGGGGATTTTCTGCCCTGAAATCAGGATCCCAGAGAGGCACAGGGCAAGAACANATCCCAGAGAGGCACAGGGCAAGAACAGGGGGATTTTCTGCCCTGAAATCAGGATCCCAGAGAGGCACAGGGCAAGAACACGAAAATTTTCTGCCCTGAGACTGAGACTGGGGTCTCAGAGAGGCACAGGGCAGAACAGGAGGATTTTCTACCCTGAGATCTGGATCCCAGAGAGGCACAGAGCAAGAACAAGGGGATTTTCTGCCCTGAAATCAGGATCCCAGAGAGGCACACGAGAATTTTTTACCCTGAGATCAGGGTCCCAGAGAGGCACAGGGCAAAAACAAGAGAATTTTCCACTCTGAGATTGAGATTGGGGTCCCAGAGAGGCACAGGGCAGAACAGGAGGATTTTCTGTCCTGAGATTGAGACTGGGGTCCCAGAGAGGCACAGGGCAGAACAGGAGGATTTTCTGCCCTGAGATCTGGATCCCAGAGAGGCACAGGGCAGAGCAGGAGGATTTTCTGCCCTGAAATCAGGATCCCAGAGAGGCACAGGGCAGAGCAGGAGGATTTTCTGCCCTGAAATCAGGATCCCAGAGAGGCACAGGGCAGAGCAGGAGGATTTTCTGCCCGATGAGCTGAGCTGCAGCTGCTCTGCTCCAGCCTCAGGGGAGGCTGACAAGGAGGGGGAGCAAAGGCAGGGTGACTTCAGCAGCAGGACAAGGACAGGCTGGTGTCCAGCTGATCCTTGTGAAAGCCTCTGGAGCGTGCTGGGAGCCGTGCCCAGCCCCAGCCTGCCCGTCCTCCCTCGCTCACTTCTAACCCAATACTGCCTTCTTACCACAGGCATGGAAAAGGAGATTTTTTTTTTTTTTTTTTGCTTCTCAGTGACCTCGTGAATCCAAGACCCTGCCAATTCTCCATCCATGTTGGCATTTAAAACATCAACACCTCCCTCCCCAGATGGAAAGGAAGTCAAAGGTCCTGTGCTGCCCTGTGCCCTTTGCTCTCCCTCTGGCCTCAGCTGGGCATTGGCCTTTAGGGAAGCCCCCTCTGCTCCACTAAGCTGGATTTGCAACCGTGGCCTTGTGATCCTGCACCCAGAGCTGCAGTGGGACGGGGAGCAGCTCTGGGGAGCCCTGGATTTATCACTCCAGCTCAGGAGCTGCTCTGGGACAGCTGGGTTTGCTCCGTGGCTGTGCATCCCCAGCCCCTCACTTCGCTCCCACGTGTCTCCAGCACCTCTGCTCAAAAGAAAAGCTCCATCTCTGCCTCCTCTTTGGTTCTGCTGAGACTCTGCTTGGATCTGGCACAAACCCTCCCCAAAAATAACCCTGGCACCTCTCCCAGCCGTGGGCGCCAGGGCTCCTGGGGAAGGGGACGGCTGAGATCTCCTTTTTGTGGCTCGTCCTCCTCACCTCTGCCACCTCACTGCCTCCAAATTTAAAAGGTTCCTTGCCTTTCCAGCTTTTGCCTCCTCTCCTGGGTTCACCTCTGCCCCGTGGAGGCCTCTGGAAGCACAAAGGGGTTTTTGGTGTGGCTGCCTGCAGAATGTGGCATCGACAAGTGGGAATCCAGGGATTCCCTCTGGCTGCCCTGGGACCCATGGACAGAGATCACAGCCAGTGTCTCTCTACAGAGCCCCCAGAGACACTGGCTGTGATCTCTGTCCATGGAAAAGAGTTTTCAATCTTACAGGATCAATTACCAGCTCTGAGGGTTTGATATCAG